GTTCGTTTAATTATTATACGTAATGTATGTTTTTTGGGGGTGGTTAATGAAAGTGTTCCAAAACGCGACATTCATTTCTTGACGACCTAATATTAAAACTATCGAGCTTATACAATGAAACTTAAGAACTGACATTTTTGCATCTAGAAAAGTTAAATTCCTCAAATCAATTCTAAATCATCGAAAACTTGGAGACAAGTTTTTTGCTATTAAGTGGCGAATTATTATCATATTTGTGAAAAACAAACAGTTCTTTACAACATATCACTAGTCTGGAATCTAGACAAAAAAGTTAAAAACACATAACATTTATTATGCATCGTACCATTATTTTTTAGAATAACCTGTATATCAGATTTCAAAACGAACAAACACCTTTAAAAGTTACGAGTTGATTCAAACGCTCATGCCTTACAGCAGTGATGTAAATTTCATTTGTTGCTTGCTAAAAGTCTGATATAGATTCAAGTAAAATTGTAGTTTTTCTCAAAGTAATCTAGTTTTACCTCGAGCTTAAACCTTTTAGCGTTGTTAGTCCGTAAACTTACTTCCGACCCACGGAGCACCGGGTTTTAGAAAAATATCTCCTTAACATTCCGTAAAACTCGATGTATCCAGTATCTGTGACTCTCTGGATTCTAAATGAACTAATGGGATTGTAGAACGCTATAGAAGTAATGTATTTCCTAGCAGCAGTCTCTATCCATATAACACACTGTGAGCATAGAAGTAAATGAAATAGGTCAGCTCAAAGTGTTCTCTGTCTCCTGTTATGGTCCGGGTTCGATTCTCCGCGGGGGACAGAGCGTAGAAAGCTTTTGTTTGTTTGTTTGTTTTTAATTATGCACAAAGCTACACAAGGGCTATCTGTGCTCTGCCCACCACGGGTATCGAAACCCGGTTTCTAGCGTTGTAAGTCCGCAGACATACCGCTGTGCCACTGGGGGGCGCGTAGAAAGCTTTGCTTTAAAACAAACAAAAAAATCATAAAGCCTAGTAACTACTGCGTAGATACTGCTTGATTGTTGGAAGTACTAATATATTTAACTTTGGCCATTATCTTTAACTATCCTTGCTAATTCTAAGTGAAATCCATTTCACTGCAATCCACAAATTTATTCTTTATTCTGATATTAAAGATCAAGACGCTGACTTGTTGAAAAATTCTAATAGATCGATCTTCCCTGTGCCTTTATTCTTTCCACCACAAATATCTAGCAACAGGAACATCGACGCAAAAAGCGATAATATCTAGCCTTACACGTCCTTGTAGATTGCGTAGTTTCAGTTACGTCGGAGAAAAGCGTTCCTTGATCATTCTGTCGATATAAAACGCAGGTTCACGATACAACACACGTGTTATATGACAAGTAGGTATAGGGGATTATTTTATTATATTCATTTCTCTATTTCTCTAACTGACAGATAGTCTGTTTCTCTTTCCGCCTTTTCATTTTTAATTGTCACTCTAAAATGTACTAATTTAATAAAAATTGCAAAAGTGGTTATTTTTTGTTTTTATGTATACTTCTAAAAACATGTTTAGACTTGACACGAATAAAACATACTTCTAAGATATACTGATTTTAAAGAGGTTTTCAAACTAAAAATTTTATCAGTTTAGTGAGCTTGACACTTTTTATTTTAGAAGCAGAAAATATTTAATGAATAGAACCATAGAATTTAGGAATGGAACTCTAAATCGCATCTATTCGTACCTAATACGTTACACTCAGTGCCTTTAAAGTTGCATCCATAACATGTAAAAAACATTTTAACGTCAAACAGAAGGAAAACATACGTCAAAAAAATCCCCATTCACTAATGGTTTAAATTATTTAGTGATGTCATGTCTTATTAACACCAGTAGCTACTTCTATGGTAGCTCGGAATAATGAGATTAAAACCTTAGTTATCAATTAATAATAACAGAAATTTGATTTGGATATTAAATTTACACGCTAATAGATATAAAATATAAGCTCATTGAGTTATCCACAATTTTAGTTAGAACCTGATTTAGAATGGTTTATTAAATATCGTTCTAATAACATTTAATTAATAACCCAGTAGTTTGGTAATAACCAGGTTCATGTTGGCTTTTGAATAGTACCTGAGTAACATTTAATTGATAATCTTATTCGACTCATTTTGTAATAATCAGGTTTATGGGTGTTTATAAGGACTATCTGAGCAACATTCCAAAGTCTCAGATAGTGTAAACACTGCTATAACCATAGAATGTTCCCCCTCCCCCCGAAGAAATATAGATGTGTTACTTAAA